AAAAATATGGGTTTAACCCCGGCATCCTGGCCCAATTTGCCTACTGGCCTCTGGCCATCATGGCCTCCTAACCATCCCCATATCATAATTAGCTTCATCACTCTGTCTCCTCTCCACCAATCAGCTGATGTGTGGTCTGGTGACCACAACATGGCTGCCGTTGCATCATCCAGGTGGATGCTGCACACTGGTGGTGAATGAAGAGATTCCCCCCAATGTGTAAAGAACTTTTAGGGCCCTATTATACACCCGGCGCAAGGTGCAACGCAATTGCTAGTTTCAGCTTGGCGCAAGAGTCGTTTTGACATTTTACACCACGAGGTTTAAATAGCAAATGGATTTGTGCTCATATGTGCGCCCGTAGGCGTTCTGGTCGGAAAAAAGGAGCTTAAATAGACTGTTCAATAGACCAGATTAAAGCAGGTCTATAGTCCAGCACAGAGCGCGTTAGTTGTGCGCCTCGCTTACACATTGCTTAATACACACAGGGTGTACAGCAATACGCAAATATCTTTACAAATGAAAAAGAATTAAAGGATTAAAATATTACAAAAATTATTATTTTCTAGCCTACATAAATATAAAAACCAAACTTTCAAGCCTTCTTCATCTCTGGGGGCTTTTTTAGTTTATTTATGACAATTTGCTTTGGTATAATGTTATTAATAATAGCAGCAGTAATTATTATATGCATATTTATATTTGTTTTATTAAAAACAAGCTCTGATTTGCCCACCTGTCAGGTTTTAGACCATATGGGGCACAGCATGTCTATTTGGATATAACTCAGTTTTTTGAACACACTTTGTTATTATTGTTAATTTGCTGGAAATTAGAACTGAGAAATAGTTTTGAAACAAATCTTTGCGCTTAACAAACAAAATAATTATGCATATGCTAATGAATGTCTGTGCGTACAACATGCTTCCCTATACACGAGAGTGAAAGTGAAAGTAAAGAATGAGGATGCGCTGTAGATGCTCTGTTTAACTGTTTTCTACAAAGTCCACCATGTAAAATGCATATGCGCTATGGCGTGGCGCAACTGACTCTTAAAGAGAATGGGAGACGAAACTCTGATTGGTTTATTCTCAAAACACACCTATAACTCATTAAGAGAATAAGCTCAACCCTGTTAGACCATGCGCCACGGCGCAAAGCGGATTTTTCCGTCCTTAAAATAGCAAAAGTGGATTTGCGCACACCCTCAATGAGTTTGCGCCCTGCACTTTGCGCATGGATCGGCAAAATAGAGCCCTTAGTGTCTAGAAAAGCGCTATATAAATGTAAGGAATTATTATCAATTATTATTATTATATGTTAGTAAATGCATTACCTAAGGAAACCGTATTGTAAATATTGTAAAATGTTTATAAAACCATTATACACAGGCCACGAATACTCATGCAAACAATAAATTTAAATACAAACTCAACATTACATATCCTGCAACGCAACCATTGCGAATGATCACATTGTAATACCGATGCTGAAATGATATATTGACAAAGTCTCTTTAAGGCAAGTCATTTCACTCGGTGACCATCTTTGAAACGGCATTCTGTTTGAATGAGGAAACATCAAAGTTTCAAATTGTTTGCAAGGCTTACGATTCAATTTCATATTAGGAATCACCTATACAATTAAATAACATCTGTCTCTTTAGTTCATTTCTAAAAATCCCCAGTAACTCAGGTCTGGTCCGAGCCCCTTAACCGAAATCGTCAGTCAGATCGGTTCCTGTACTAGGAGGCGGGGCTTCGTTCGCCATATTGACTGTTACACTTTTCCCCATTCATACAAGTGACACATCTTGTGTATTTGATATTGTGCAGCCCTACTAAAGTCAGACATTAGCCGAAGTGTATTTGCCGATGGCAGCTTCTAGTGTGGCTGTAGTTTATCCTCCTGAACCCCCACACGCCTCCATTTCCCCCTCTTTAAAGAGCACACAGGCCTCCAGATCCCTCAAGGTAAAGCCCAAATTACGTCTAATGTGCTACACAGGCTAATGGTCGGCGGTGCCATTAGAATATGCGTTATTTGGCTCCGCGGGTTTCGGTTTCAGAGCGTTCGCGCACACACTCCTCTGCACCCCAGGCCTGCGGAGATGAATGGAGTTCGCAACACTACAATGAGCTTTTGATGCCGAGACAATGGAAGAGGCTGCCCGCATCTGACGCTCCTGTGTTTTCTGAGGGCCGCTAACAATATGGGGTCCACTTTTCCGGGCCTTTCTTCTGCCCCTGGGCTGGTCAGGAGGGTGGGGGGGTGGTTTGTGGGTAATAGTGTCCCGAGGGCGAGCAGAAATGATGTGGAAGTGTCATGGAGCTCAGAAAAGATGGTTTTGTTGGTGACAGGCGGCGTCAGTGAAACACAGAGCGGCAGGTTAATATCACCTGACGCAGGGGTCTGGTGTGGCGGCTGCTCCTCAGGCAACAGCCAATCATCATCTGTTACTCACGTGAACGTCCACTACTCCTCAAGATAATAGAAGTGAAACCCGGAGTTTTTCTCAGGGCTTATGGGAAAATGGGGCTGAAATTAAGAAAATGTCGATGGTTGATCTGTGAAATGTTTGGGACATTTTTGATATCTTTGATCGTGTGTGATCGGATTTTTGTTCTGGTTTTGGTTCTGAGTTCTGTCATCATTTTCAGACTCATGATGATATGTACAGTACTGTGCAAACGTTTTAGGCTTAACATTAAATCTGTTGTTTTAATGGTTGTATACTGGATATATGTGACCCTTTTCCAGAAAACCAGTCTCTACGTCTAAATTTCTTTGTTCATTTTTTTAAAAATTGAGATTTATACACGGTGGATTAATGATCTTTCAGTTGATGTATGGTTTGTTAGGATGGGAGTTAGGTTAGAGTTTTAATTATTTAGGATTAATTGTTTAAGACATGTTAAAGTCAATGTTGGGGAGAGGTTGTTTGTTCTGGTTTGAGCTGCATTTCTACCAGTGTTGTTAGCAATATTGTCTGAATTGATGGTATTGTTCACCGATGGGTTTTAATCCAGGGATTCTCAACCGGTGGGCCTCAGCGATTCTGCTGGTGGGCCGCGAGATATCTTAAAATTAACTTGAATATGTCGGCGCCAGTGGTGTAGTGGTTAGTGCGTCGACACATGCACTCTGGTGCTCACGGCGACACAGGTTCGATTCCGCCTTGCGGTCCTATGCCAATCCTTCCCCTCTCCCTGCTCCCCATGCTTTCCTGTCAATTCTCTCTACTATCCTATCAAAAATAAAGGTGAAAACCCGAAATAATAATAATAATAAAACTAAAAAATTTACTTGAATATTGTACTATAATCATTCAATAGAGTCTGGCTGCAGCTTTGCACTTGCACCTCCAGGCTTGCACCCTCGGACTTGCACGCTCAGGCAACCGTGCTTCCTCTGCAAGTAACGTCTTTTACAATCGCCACCTGTGTCCGCTTGCATGAAAGTCCTTCGCTGATTTAACTTAAGGTTGTCCCTGAGGCGAAAAAATCTCTGAGGTAACGGATTTCATTAAGATTGTTGCAACGAACTTCTTATGTGTCACCCTTACTCAAGTGCCTTTTTTCTAAGCATTGCACTGTGGTTTCTGGCAACATACGGCGACGGGCGCTACAGTTGCTATAGTTACGTAAACGTAGGGGTCTGTCATGTTGAACAACACAAGTAGGCCACTTATTATTTCACAACGTCGTGACTGGCAATGCAAACGAACTGGAAACTTACTTTTGGTTTATTCCTGTTGATTTCAAGTGATGTGACAGGTGCAGGTGTCGATTGTAAATGACGTCACTTGCATAGGAAGCGTGCAAGCCTAAAGATGCAAGTTCAACTCTGCAGTCAGACCCTTCTCTCATCATTTGATTTCATTATTAAATATGCCATATTAAAATGATAGTAGTAATGTCGTTTCCCGATTTCTGTGATTGATCAGGCTAATTCGGACTCCAAAAACAGCCTCACTGTTAATTACAGGCAAAACTAAGGCTTAAATTTCCAACTGCTGTGCATCAACTGGGACTCCGTTCTTAGTTGTATAAAGCAAACAGTCGAGCAAATGTAAAGGTAACAATGATTATAATAACCAGCTCACGCGTGCCTCACATCTGCTTCTCGTACTGTATCAGAGTCGCACAAGTCTGTTGTATCACAAACTGTGCATGCTGTCTTTGTGTGAACACTTTAAAATATCCGCACAGTTGTCCAAATTAACGTCTTGTGAGCGTTTTATAACTGACGCGCGTATATATATATATATTTTTTTATATAATATAATAATATGTATCTTATTATTATTTTTTTTAAATGCAGACAGGTTCAAAGCCCCTTGTACTATTCCCTTATTTTAGTACATCATTGATTTGACTTTTTACTTGTGTATGAAGAAGGTAGGCGAGTTTGAAGTATAAAAAATTGTGTTGGGTTAAAAAAAGATGTGGGCGGCACAGCAAGAAGTCCCCTGGTTTAAGTCTCAGCTGGGCCAGTTGGCATTTCAGTGTGGAGTTTGCATGTGTTGGCGTGGGTTTCCTCCAGGTGCTCCAGTTTCCCCCACAGTCCAAAGACATGCGCCATAAGTGAAGTGGATGAGCTAAATTGGCCGTAGTGAATGAGGGTGTGTATGAATATGAGAGTTTATGGGTGTTCCCCAGTGCTGGGTTGCGGCTGGAAGGGCAGCCGTTGTGTAAAACATATGCTGGAATAGTTGGCGGTTCATTCCACTGTGACAATCCCTGATAAATAAGCAACTGAGCTGAAGGAATATTAATACTCTCTCTCTCTCTCTCTCTCTCTCTCTCTCTCTCTCTCTCTCTCTCATGGATATGAACTCAAGTGTCTTAATAACAAGCTTAACCATTTTTAAGAATTCGACCTTGTTTAGAAAGCATACGAGGTGTCAAACTCTGAAGACTAGTGTGAGCTGTTTCTGTGAATGGCCACAGGTGAAAGACTCTGTTGACTGAACTGCATTTCTCTTTTCTTTCCTCCAGCCAATGGCGTGTCGGATCCTCTTAGCTCCGCCTCTGGCATGAGCAGCGCCACCAGTCCCAAACTCGAGCCTCCACCATCACCTCACGCCAACCGCAAAAAACACCGGCGGAAAAAGAGCACGGGCATCACCAAACCAGACAGCCTTTCTGCAGGGAGTGAAGGTAAACAGACTAAAAATATGTCCCGTAATGGCGTGCGTCTTCCACATTCCCACCGGTTAACAAAATCACTACAGATTCTGGCCATCAGTAACCGTTCCAGGGGATGTTTTATTGACCAGACACACAAAAGTCCAATTGGCCTGTGGCGAATATCATCTCTTTCGGAGTCTTTTGTTCTGTGCCACGCGCAGCAGAGATGATGTGTCATCAACACAGTGCCACTTTGGTTTTATTGCCCATCCCAATGACAAATACAGTCTCCTAATTGGTTGTTATAGAGGAAACAAAAGCACTTCCCTCTGGCTATTCTGTTGCCAATAGCTGAAATCCATCAAGTAGACGGACGCTGTCCATCAATGACGGTGTCAGAGGCTCTTCCCATTAAAACTGTTGTTTTTGCAGGATGATCATAAATCCATTAACAGTCACTGTGCCCCTTTTAGGGCACACAAAAGTACAGTGATCAATTAGAGGGGTGTGTTTATTAATTGTTGTTTTAAAAGTGATATTGTGTCCCGTTAAACCCAAGAAAAAACACATCACAGAAGCATCTCTTCAGAGTCTAGAAGCATTGACTCTATGATGAAGCTTATTACACTCCAGTAATGATTTTTGCTGCTTGTTCTAGCTACTTATTTAAAATGAGTTGACGCAACACAATTCTTGAGATTTTTTTTGGGACAGCTTAATTGTTTTATGTTCAAACCACTTAAATTAGTCAAGTTACCTTAATCGATTTGTGCGGGAATGAATTGTGTGGAGCCCTGCATTATTTAAAGTGCACACTGAAAAGAATGATTAATTGGATTTACTTTTTTTTTTTTTAAGGCACGTGATTGCAAGCAATTGATATGGGCAAAACTTAAATGAACAAATTAAATTTAGTAATGTTCAAATTAATTTGTTTGTTTAAATTCAGCCCATTTGAACAGTTTGTAACCAGCTACATCCAATAAATAATGTTTTTCAGCGCAAAATGACCTAATAATTCAAGTTATGAAAGCAAAAATTATCCCTGTATAGATTTTGTTGTTGTTGTTGTTGTTGTTGTTGTTGTTACTTCGCTTGCTTATAAGACAAGAGTATAGTATCATATCCTCTCTCTCTCTCTCTCTCGCTCTCTCTTCTCTCTCTCTTTCTCTTTCTCAATTGTTAGTGTATTTTCCCCCCAATTTCTGTTTAACAGAGAGCAGATTTTTTTCAACACATTTCTAAACATAATAGTTTTAGTTACTAATTTCTAATAACGGATTTATTTTATCTTTGCCATGATGACAGTAAAAAATATTTTACTTGATATTTTTCAAGACACTTCTATACAGCTTAAAGTGACATTTAAAGGCTTACCTAGGTTAATTATGTTAACTAGGCAGGTTAGGGTAATTAGGCAAGTTATTGTTTAACAGTGGTTTGTTCTGTAGACCAGTGGTTCCCAACCTGGGGTCCGCGCCCCCCTAAGGGGGGCGCCAGAGTTCACAGGGGGGGCGCGGGAGAGGATAAGTATTGAGGTAGAAAAAGGCATAAAAATGCTCCACTATTATAAAGGGCTTTGCAATTAATCGAATATCCGATTTAGATTTCGGTTTCAAACGATTATAAAAAAGCATTAATCGAGATAAATGATTATTGCATCATATTTTGCCACGTTCCAGTTGTACACGCTCTTAAATGGCTCTTAAAAGCGCGAAAGAGCTTATGTGTGTGTGCAGCACGATCACGCAGTCAGAAGCATGCGGCCGGTCAGCATTCACTCTCATTCACACACTGAGACGAGCAGAGGAGCGCAGACATCTAAAGTCATCTTAACGTGAGCGCTTTAATGGTAAAATAGGTGTCAAAACGCGGTGTTTAGTGATTATGTACATTAACCCTCATTTGTGTAATAAACAAACGAGTTGAGGATTAAAAGACGTGAAAGAGAAACCATTAAAGAGACATCGCGCTATAATCCTTCTGCCGCCTGTTTTTATCATTATTAAACAAACACAACGAGAAAACCCTCGCTGCTCTTGACTGAAGGACTGCTGTAGCTAAAGTGTTTTTCTTACAGTGAAGATGCTTAAAACACAGTTTGTTTAATATTTTTATTCTATTGTATTTATTTCTCTTTCCTTTGCAGGGTGGAAAATAACTGTATGTATACAGTTGAAGTCAGAATTATTAGCCCTCTTGAATATTAGCAAACCTTTTCCTGCCCAATTTCTGTTTCATGGAAAGAATATTTTATTAACTTATTTCTGAACATAATAGTTTTGATATCTCATTTCTAATTACTGATTTCTTTTTGTCTTTGCTATAATGACAGCACATAATATTTTACTAGATATTTTTCAAAATACAAGCATTCAGATTAAAGTGCAGTTCAAAGGCTTAATTAGAGTAATAAGGCAAGTCATTATAACGGTAGTTTATTCTGCAGACAATCAAAAATATATATTGCTTAAGGGGGCTAATAATATTGACCTTAAATTGGTTTCAAAATATTTAAACCTTTCTTTATTCTCGCTAAAATAAAACAAATAGAAGAAAAAATATTATAGGAAATACTGTTAAAATTCCTTGCTCTGTTAAACATAATTTGGGAAATATTTATAAAAAAAAAAAATCTCAGGAGCGCTAATAATTTTGACTTTAACTGGCAATGGTTTTGAATAATCGTGATTACAATTATGACCAAAATAATCGTGATTATGATTTTTCCCAAAATCGAGCAGCCCTACTATTATATATGTATTTTTAAGTACCAAAAAAATAAATAAAACGCATGCTTAAAATTCCAACATAATAGTGAAAATAATTAAAATAAATAACTTTAAATAATTATTTAAATTTTGCTTACTCGCGCAATCTGCTTGTCAACGTGTCGTAAAGGCAAAATCAAAACAAAAATGGCAGACAAACGTAAATGTAGGGATTCTTCAGAGGCGAAGAAAAAGATTAGACAGTATGACAAAGCCTACCTAAATTTTGGTTTTATTGAAGGCCAAGACAAGTTAAAACTGATTAATTAATATTTTCTATACATATTACTATATATTAATATTACACAAACACACACACACACACACACACACACACACACACACACACACACATATATATATATATATATATATATATATATATATATATATATATATATATATATATATATATATATATATATATATATATATATATATCACTATGAATGCAAATGTGAACTTGATTCTATATCAGTTTGGGTTTGTGGCGAATGCTTAATCATTGTACTTTTTGATATGAGGGTGGGAGTAAAATGTCATGTGAATTTAAAGCGCCAAACGACACAATTAGGATCAAAGTCTAAAAGAGGCCGTTTCAAAGAGTTCTAAAACATTATTTGTGTGTTATTTTGAGGTGAAACCTCACATACACACTCTACACTACCTGACAAAAGTCTTGTCACCTATCCAAGTTTTAGTAACAACCAATCATAACTTGACTTCTAGATGATCATTTGATATCAGAAGTGGCTAATATGAAAGGCGAAGGCCTCTAGATTACGCTTATTTTACTAAAATATAATATGATCATGCCTTGATTTTTAATTATTTAATTGCACAGTAAGGTCTGACTTTGCTTGTACAAAAGTCTTGTCACTTAACAGAAATAATTTACAATATAGAATATAAAGTCATGGTGCAGTGGAAACAGAATTAATATTGTGTGTGACTCCCATGAGCTTGGCCGACTGCATCCATACATCTCTGCAATGACTCAGATAGCTTATTAACTCTGTGCGCTCTCTTTATGTGAACACTTTAAAATGTCCACACAGTTGTCCAAATTAGCGTCTTGTGAGGGTTTTATAGCTGAAGCGCGTCCGTACAGGAGGATCTAGCGAGACTCTGTGGTGTTTCAGTAGTGAACAGCTGTTCACTGCTCCTGTCAGCGAACTCCAATAATGTCTAGCAACAAACCAAACCGCCTTCAGATCGATGTGTTTCAACAGATTTAGAGGGTTTTTACTGTCTTTTATATTTAGGGTTAGGTTGTTTATTTTAATGGATATAAATCAATAGATAAATAGAAGTCAGTCTAATTCAAAGCAGTTGTGAAGGATAACTGAACAATTCTGGAGCTTTGAACCTGTCATTGCGTTTATATATATATATATATATATATATATATATATATATATATATATTTTTTTTTTTTTATTTATTTATTTTTTTTATTATTATATTTAAATATATATACATACATACAGGCACAATGTTTCAGGTTTTTTTTTTGTATAAAATGATGTAGAAAAATAAGAGAATAATAGAAGGCAAAATAAATGTTTTGCTAATAAATAAAGCTTTAAAATAAGCATTTTCTCTAGACAATCAGTTCAGGCCTTCAAAGAATGTTTGGAGAAAATGTGGACCTTTAAGTGAAAAAGGTTGAGAACCCCTTAAATATGCAACACAAATGTCTTGATACCTCAGGCTGTTGATGTTGCCATCCAGTCTGCAGATCTCTCGCACACCCCCATACTGAATGTAACCCCAAACCATGATTTTTCCTGCACCAAACTTGACTGATTTCTGTGAGAAACTTGGGTCCATGCGGGTTCCAATAGGTCTTTTGCAGTATTTGTGATGATTGGGATGCAGTTCAACAGATGATTGATCTGAAAAATCGACCTTCTGCCACTTTTCCAAATGATCAACTAGAGGTCGAGTTATTATCTGTTTATTTGTTGCTCTTACAACTGGCATCAACAAAGACTTTTATCAGGTAGTGTATGGACATCAGAGACTCCTTTTACATCTTTTAACCGAAAAATCTTAACCGAAAAATTGTGAAACACCCATCAAAATCAAAATCACACGTCTATGATCAAGCATTAAATGTCTTAAAGTGGTACATAAGAGCGATTAACTTACAAAAACTGCTCACAAACTGCGAGTATTGCTTTTCTACGTCCATTAAGGCATTTCAAATGTGGCCGTGATCAAGTTTAATTGTGTTTTTACATGAGCTAAAACAGC